TGTTTAATGCAGTCTCCCAATATGGTTGGAACTTAAACATCTCCCAACCCTGTGTGAGATCTGGGAAAGGTTTAGCTCACAGTTATCCAGTCACTTCCATTGCCCAGCCTTGTGAAGCTTCACCATTTGCATGAACATCTTAGCATTCAGCAAAAATTCAAGAAGAATCCTATGCATATTTCTGGAACTATTTTTTATACATGATTCTCTCCTCCTGGTTCTCTGTACCACAAATGTCAGTAACTTTGTTCTCCACAAATTCCAATATTTATCCCTTCAACTCAGAAGTCCTGCTGGGCTTTGATTATGTTTCATCTCTCTGTGGCATAGTCCAGAAAGTACCTTCAGGCTAAACTTGGAGTGAGCTTAGGAATTATCTTGTCTGTTGTCCTTCTCTCAGGAGCCACAGTCCTACAATACCGGTTGTCCAACAACCAAAAATCATTATTTTAAATTTTTTTCAATTTTCTGGGTTTCTTTATGGTGGGAGAGCAAGGATAGAGCTAGAAAGAACTTGAAAGGAAAGTCCACATCCTTCCCTTTTGTAGATGAAGCAACAGAGACTCAGGGTGGAGTTGCAGTATGCTCAAGGTCACACAGCTACTGGTGAAAGCATCAAGCGCAGAAGCTGTTTTCGAAGTGCAATGTCTTTCTCACTCCAGCATGCTGCCTCTTGCAGAATGACTGGTAGAGTATAGTATATTAGTTTTCTAGGGCTGTTGTAACAAATTATTACGAGCTAGGAAACTTAACACCATAGAAATTTTTTCTCCCTGGCCGGGAGTGGTGGATCATGCCAGTAATCCCAGCACATTGGGAGGCCAAGGCGGGCAGATCACTTGAGGTCAGAAGTTTGAGGCCAGCCTGGCCAACATGGTAAAACCCCGTCTCTACTAACAATATAAAAATCAGCCAGGCGTGGTGGCACTTGCCTATATTCCCAGCTATTTGAGAGGCTGAGGCAGGAGAATCACTTGAACCCAAGAGGTCGAAGTTGCAGTGAGCCAAGATCACACCACTGCACTCCAGCTTGGGTGACAGAGTGAGACTCCATAAAAAAAAGAAAGAAAGGAAAGAAGGAAAGAAAGAAAAGGAAAGGAAAGGAAAGGAGGAAGGGAGGAAGGGAGGGAGGGAGGGAGGGAGG